TTCAACTTACAATGATCGCTGAACTAGAAAAAATGAATGAAATGCGTACGTTCACATACGCACACGATATTCTGTGCGTGCTTGAACGTGGGCGGGTTATCGTAGATATATAATTTAATGTATCCGTAATTTAAATAAAAAGAAATTTATCTAATAGGATCTGTGAATCGAGAATCCTCCCTTTTTTTTTCATATTTTAAGCAAATGAAACATGACGTTGACAATACAGTAGGATAAATTAGGGAATCATAGATATTATTATCACCTGTTTATTTTCCATCATAAATTCAACGAGATATTCTATAATATATTAATATCATGTCTATTTTTTTAACATAGAGATATGGTCTCGACAGATTATTTTACCTCTTAACGTACACTGTTCGTTCCAAAGTACCTCAGATATCTTTCGTCGGAGATGTTCTCTTTTGCTCCGAGTTCACCAAGATACTAGTTATCGACGCCTCAGGAATTTCAGTCAATTCCCGCTTGGCTGCTCGAATGTCTCGCAGAGACAAATTTAGGGATTGTACTATAGATGACATGTTCTTCTTTTGGTCCGTGCCCATTGTACCCGTCCTTGTCATCGACGAGATGAATTGGTAGTCGCTGACGAGGATACGACTGGTGGAACTCACCTGGAAGCAGAATGAAGAATCATCGTAGTGTTTGATCTTAAAATCCAATTTTCTTCAAATGAAACAACTCCCACTAAAGGAAGTACGTAGATTCACAAAGAATCACAAAGAAATGGTAAGATCGCAGAATTTCTGTAGAGCAGACTTATATAGAATTCGAAAATCTAGGGTAATCTAGGGGGGGAGGGGGGAAGCTTAGTCTTTTCAAGTAGTCCGAAATTGCTCACTAGATGCGAATTGAGAGCCGCTTCGACCACGATATTGGTACCGTAGGATCCAAAGTAGAAGGAGGCGTAATAGCTGCAATTATTCAAATTGGTCGTTTTCTGGATCAATATGGTCTCGCTGGGGACTTTGTTCAATTGCGGCAGAGATTCCAGCTCGTATCTGTTGTTCTTTATCTTGTTCATCATTCTCTTCGACAGATAGTGATTTATGCCAACCGTGACCTCGCACTGTCCGATCGTCGTGTTCTCCAAAATGTCGAACGTACCGTCAGGCACGCCGTTCAAATTCGCTCCGATGTTAAGCCGTTCGGCGATCAGTTTAATGTCATTCAGATCCTCAATTTCGTTTCGATCGTCCACTATCAAGTGGTCGACGCCGTAATCGTTGAATTTGATCTCGAATTTTAGTTCTTTGTTGGCCGGCTGTTTCAGTTGTTGCTCGGATATTTTGATTGTATTGTCGTTCATGATGTCCATGCTTTGTCGTCTGACGTTCCCCAAGTGGCAATTTAGCCCATCCGCTCCCGTTGGCCTGCAGAACAGGTTCATAGCTGTGCAGTTCGACGTTTGAACGTTGTCGTGATTGATCGGAGTCGAGGTGATGTTCATCTCTACGTCAAATACGTATTCTGGTCCATATTTCCACACGCTCTCGTCGACAGCCACTCGGGCCACTGAAGAGAAAAGAAATTCTCGTTGATCCATTTCGTTACGACGTGACAGTTTCAGTTCATTTTTCAGTTAATCTTTAGCATGCTTTATTGTTAGTTTCGTTTAGACTGATCCAATTTGAAAAATTACTGCACACAGTTCGATGCAATTTTCTCGTGGAATTTTAAATACTTATTTTTAACAATCTTTGATATTAATATCAAAGTTGTTGAAAAGAAAAATTAAAAATACTTCGAAGTATCATTAAACACTTGTAGCACACAAAATTTCAAATTAATGATTACTCATACATTGTGCTGAAATCGTGGACGTTTTCGTCCGTGAGAAACGAAAGTTATGATATTTGCAATTAGTTATGAATTATCGTTGGCATAAGCAGTTCCTTTCGTTACAATGAACGAAATATCAGCGCGATACTATCGACGAGATATCTCGCATGGCAGTAGTCTCTGCCTCTCGATACAGGGGACATTATTATGGTATTACCAATATTAGGCGTGTAGTATAACAACAATATTTTGCGTCTTTCTTTCAACTTGATTCTAATAAAAGATACGCGAAATGACCCGTTTGCGGTGGCATCGCAAGAACGATGTTACGAGGCGAGATAACTCGTCAACGGCATTGCAGAAACAGCGTTACGAAGGGGAGATATCTCGTCGGTGGTATTCCACAATTGACATAGTTGTGGCGAGATATCTCCTCCATGATAGCGAAAAGGTTTAAATGGAAAATTGGCTTACCGACCTAAGAAGAACGGAATTAATGAGACGAGCATGTTGTAGCACTGCTCTCAACTGGTTTAACACTCTTCTTCGGCTTGAAGGTCCTTTTATATCGCTGATGTACTCCAACGACCTCGCCGTGTAATTTAATTAAGCCGTCCCACCATCGACGATGGTAATCATTATGCTGCTTCGACCTGGAATAAAACACGCGATTTTCGAGATACAAAAAGAAATTTTCCATCAATAGTACGATTACTTGCTTGCTAAATATTTTTTTTTTTTTTTTTTTAATAAAAATTAGTCTTCGACTTTTTATCGAATTATAATCTTTATAGAGAATATATTAAGAAGATTTAAATCGTTATGTTTGCTTTAATACTTTCGCTATCGTGGACGAGATATTTCCTCACTATTTTACCATGTCTAATACATTAATGATATTACACAACCGATATAATTTCACCTAATTTGCACACTTTAAATAACTTCAAAATTATACTATTGATAAAAAATTATTGTATGGTAAAAGTATGGTTCAAAGGATTGGTGCATGTGTTTTTTTTTTATGGATGGAGATTTCCAGATTATCTCCTCTTCTTTTTTTTTTTTTTAAATAAAATTATACGTTTTTTTCATCCACTAATCAATACATGTAGCTCGACATTCTCTATAAAAAAAAAAGAGTTAGGAAATATTTTAATCTTAATTCCAGTGTGAATACAAGGATATTACCCTTGTTCATACGTCTTTCATAGATTTTACAAAATTAAAGGTAAAATACTCTCTTAAACTAGTAATTTTTCGATATACATAGATTAATACTTTTTTATAAAGAATGTCGAGCTACATCGATTAATAAATAAAAAAATATGTCATATATCAGTGGATATGATCTCAAAATCTCTGAAATGCTTTCATTTGTAATATATATATATATATATATATA